CCGACGCCTAAACTCAAGCTCAAGCGAAGTCCAAACCGAAGTCAAAACCTAAGCCTACGCTCAACCCAAGCCCGGTACAATTTTCCGTATTACGCTAATACACATAGAACTGTAGTACGCAATGGTACGACATCTGACAAGCCGCTATGATACGGTAAGATCCAACGGATCACAGTGCTTCGTCGTATATGAAGAGTTTTGGCGGTCCGCAAGGATTTTTTTTTTATTATTTTAGAACGATTTTTACGATTCAGATATGTATCGATAGCTCTCGACGAGGCGAGGAGACCTGCTCTTGTCGAGTTTTTTTAAGTTTAACGTTTTTTCTGGCTTTCTTGGCATGTTTCATACATTTTTCAAGCTTCTTTCGAAGCCTCACTCAACTGTTTTAGACCCGACCCACCTCGTGTTTTCACAACTCGGTTTTATGAAGTTTTATACAGACGAAGAAAAGGCATTTAAAATCCCTCAAAACCTTATCCGCGATTTATCTGAAAGTTCAAGCCCCGGCCCCAATACCGCGCGCCAACCACCGTACCCCTCTAGGTTGGGCATTGGCAGAGGGGCGAATGGCAGGGGTAGGCAGGGGAGAGAGCACAGGAAAGGGATAGACGCAGACAGAGACACTGGTTGCCCTGAATGTGTTTGCTTCTTCTTCTTCTTCCAGCCCGCCAATCAACCCAGCCAGCATAGCCAAGAAAAAACCCGAGACAAAAGAGAGAGAAGGAGAAAGAGAGAGACATCACTCTCAACGTCTCTACACTCTCCCCCATCCCCACTATCTTTTATGCCCCGGCCCTGGGTGGGGATAGACTACTAGCTGAACTCGACCCGCCAAAAAACATCCGCTCAATCTAGCGCTGCGATCAGCTACTTTTTACTTGTTCTCTACAATTTTATTGATTTTCGAGAACTTGAAGACGTTCAGGAACGCGAAGAACAACTACTTTTTACAAAAATGGAGCAACATCCGGGGATGAACTTTCAGAATCAGGTTTGGAGAACTTTTCATTGGATTTGAGTAATTTCTGTGGACAGATTGATCTTTTTTTCTGCTCTAAAATTTTCGTATTTGTTATCTTTTACGTATAAAGTTTTGGGTAATTTACATGTTTTCTTAAAAGCCTGTTTCTATTTCTAGACGCGGTAAATTAAGTCATTTTTTATTTCAAAAGCCGATTGTTGCAAGTAATATCCCCTTTCAACAGTTTTTTATGGTTTGTTTTGAGGATTTTCTTCGATTTTGCGAACAAACTGCTTAAAACGTTAACTTAAAAAAGTTAGGATTTCAATTACCAGTACAATTCATTTTTATTTAATGATTTATAATACGCTAAATTATGGTTTAAATCAACCCGATAAGTGAAATCAATCTATAAGATTTGTTTATTTTTCAAAAAACCGTTTTCAGGGCGGCGGACCAATGCGCCAAGTTCGCCCTGGGCTACGACTTGATCAACTCGGCGATCGCCCGATGCCGCTTCATCATGAGGTTAGTCGTATAAACGTTTTTTTCAAGTACGAGTTGCACTTACTTGGCTTTGCGTAGCGTGACGTAGCGTAGCGTACGTAAGCTTTAAGCAAATTTCGGGTAGTGCCACGTACTCTAAAGTAGCGTCACGGAATGGAATTTTATGCGAAAATTTTGCTTTATTTTTAGGTTCCTTTGATCAGCTTTCATAGCGTTACGACTCGTAGTGGTGCGTGCCATTGCTGCGCGTTATTTTACGTATTTTTCGTAGTACGCTTTAGGTAGCTTCTCAGCTGTGGGTGGAGTCGCGTAGCGTAGCTCACATAAGGTTATTACACCTTGCATTCCATTCCGCAACTTTTATAACACAGCTTTGCGTAGCGTACCGTAGCTGTGCGTAGGTTTGGTAACATCGCGTAACTAATAGCGTTGCGCAGAGTAGCGTTACGTAGCGTTCCGTAGCGTGCCGTAGCGTTACGTAGTGTTCCGTAGCGTTACGTAGCGTTAAGGAGCGTTCCGTAGGTTTTTGTAACATCGCGTAGCTTTTAGTAGCGCTGCGTCGCGTCGCTACCTTAAAACTAATACCTAATTTCAACAAATCCCATTTCCAGATGCACGAAGTCGGGCAGCGTCCCCGGGTTTCACGAAATCGCACGACCAGCGGTGAGTTTTTCGGGATTTTCAGTCTCTCCCCGTTAATCTTGATCCATTTCTAGGCGTTGTCGCCTCTAATCCATGTCATCCATCGCTTTTTATTTGTCATCATCTTTCGAGCGAATTCGGGGGGCCGAATGATTGATTATCTCCTGAATACAGGCCAACAACCCAACCCCTATGATCGAAAACATCAAGAAAAAGTTAGAGGGTAATTAGGGAGGCCTCAAAGATTATGCATTTTAAAGGGACCAGGACTGTAGAGAGTCGCAGCAGCAATCTCATTAATTTTCGGCGCTTTTGCATTATCGGGGGGGGGGGACGCGTCAGGGAAAAATACAAGTTTTTTCCTAGTATAAAATGTTTCTAATATCAATAGAGAAGTGTTTCCAGCCTGTAGAAACTTTAGAACTTGACAGTGTTCAAGTTGACACTAAAAAAATGGATCTTTCGCCCAAAAATGTCCGATTTTTATCAAAATTTCTAACTTTAAAAGCTTTTGAAAGTTATTGGATAATTTAATAATGAAACATGCCTACATTTTACGATTTTATGTGCCAAAAGCCAAAAAAAAAAATGTAAATACAAGTTTTAAAAAGCTTTGAAAATTTGTTAAAAAAATTTTTACTGTTTTAGAAATTTTACTAAAAACACTATTAAACTACCTTTATCACCTGGGCATTTTTGGACTTACAAAAATTCGATCTATCCTCCAGAGAAATGGCCTCCCCCGATAATGGAAAAGCACCGCTACACTACGTCACGATACCTCACAGGACGCTATAATACTTCTTCCCCCGTTAGCCACTTTCCAATTTCCCATTCAGCAAAAAAGATCGTTTCCCGTTTCTTCGCAAATTCTAATGCAAAATTTCTGGGAATGGGTGATTTTTGCAAAACAGGTTCCCAGGGGGGGAAGGGGGGAAGGGGGTTGCAGTGTCCAAAAATCGGGGTGGCTTCTCCCAGCGGATGGGCTGTTGTTTGTATCGGAGGGATTAGTATGGTTGTGTACTCGAGGAGGGGAGGGGACAGACAGGAACGCCTTTATTCCCAGGAAGATTAGGGAGAAGGAGAGGGACTTTATGCAATATGGAAAGGTTTTTGAGGGAGAGAGAGAGAGAGAGAGACAGACAGACAGAGACAGAGACAGAGACAGAGACAGAGATACTTACCTCGAAAGAGAGAGGTAGAGAGAGCGTGAGTGATATCCCAGACAGAGAGAGAGAGAGAGAGAGAGAGAGAGAGAGAGAGAGAGAGAGTGATAGGGAGTGAGAGAGGACGAGCTAGAGAAAGAAAGATTTACTCACATTTTAAATCCAGAATCTGCCGTCGGCCTGATGAAATCGACACACGGTATCCCGAGCAATCGCCCCTCACACCGGAATGTCCAGCCCCCACCTGCGCACAGCCCCATCCAGGTCGGTATTTCGGAATTTTCGCATTTTTTCAGTGCTGTGGATTTTTTTAAGTTAGCTTACTCTAGTGCATCTTATAGAATTATAATTGATGGCCTCGCTGGACGTTGAAAAAAGATTTTTGGCTTTAAAAATTGATTTTGGATATTTTTAAAATGACTCTAACTTTATAAGCTTTAGCATTTTTTAATTGGGGCCATATTCTGTTACAATTTCTTAACAATATTCTCATCTACCGTTGATTTTCTTATAAAAAAAAACCAAAATCTCTCGTGTATCTCTGCCAAGTTTCCTCCCTCTACCCTGGAACATTGAACCCGACCGGTCCGGCTGAAAAGTTCGCCGGCTGATTTTTCAGCCTCCCCCCATCTACCGTATCCCCTCTGCCCCTCTTCTGATTTCCCGGTGAATTTCCGTTCTTGACTACAATCCCATTGCTGGGCCCTAGCCGTTTTTTGCCGCCTTTTTTCTTGGGGCCCACCCCAGGGGGTCGCAGCCCTTTTTCAGGGCGTTGATGGGATTAGGGCTGACGTGGAGTGGAGTGTCTCTCTCTCGCTCTCTCTCTCTCTCTCTTCCGAAAAGTGGATAGATGTCTGAATGTTGCTATGGGGATTTAAGGGGAGAGAATGTTTGATATTGAGAGGCGTAGAGAGATGCCATTCATGAAGTTTCGCTCTCCCCTGGGCCCTGGCGCGAGAGAGAGAGCAGAGAGAGAGAGAGAGAGAGGAGCTTGACGTCTGCTTCTAATTGGGGGCCATGGCTGGGTTTTCAGGAGCAAGAGAATTCAAAAATTGAGCCATGAGTCAGCGATTTTTAAAGGGATGGTGCCAGGAAGCGTTACAATCGATTACGACGTGAAAATAGTGTACGGTGGCGAACTGTTGCGTAGTTTGGCGTATTGTTGCGTACGGTAGCGTACTGTAACGTATTGTAGCGAATTGCGAAGTATCGTATCCTACTTTCTCATACTCCTTATCCATTATCTACCTAAATTTGACCGTATTCCAGCCTACTGACGGGTAAGTACTACTACCGCCGTAGTATTGCGTATTTCTGCGAAGTGTAGCGCACTATAACGGTTTCTACAGTTTTTTAGTGTATCTAAAAATCAGGCGTAATTTTCCATACCTTTTAATCAACACGTCTGACAAGTACTCTGCCAATTTCCTGCCCCCAATTGCGCTCCGCTCCAATTTGCACAAAGAAACCGGGCAAAAAAAGTTGATTTTTTGAGACCAAAAGTCTACCACCTGGCTACGTGCTCCGCCGCCGGAAAAGATTACCGGAAAAACTTAGCAGAAAAACCCTGAATGGGAAAGCCTGGATTCCCAGGCGTTAATTGCCGTGGGCTGTCTGGCCGGCCGGGGGTACGGTAGCTGGCCCAACTTTTGAGAAACGTATAATTGCGAAAAATCTGCAACGTGTGAGAAAAGAAAAATCGATGATTGATCTGTTTTTTTGCCTTGGGTATCGGGTATATGGCTTTGGCTGCCCTGTAAAATTTGCTTACCCAGGGTTGCGGTAGATTTTTGATCGATGCAAATTTTCGCATTAGCGGTTTATGGGTCCCTGACTTCCAACGTCCTTAAGATGTGTCCTTCAAGGAGGCTACGGTAGTTTTTTCAGAACAGCGGCGACATCTTGTGGCTTTTAGCTTTCAATGGTCCTTTAAAAATCTCCTTAGCTTGGGTTACGGTAGAATTTATTATTTTTCTAGACTTTCCAGACTTTATTTTTTTACGCAACTTTCCAATTTGCGATCACAGCTCCTCCGTACTCGCTACGCGCCATGACTAATTCCGGTGACCGCCCAGAAAAAAAAAAATGTTGGCCCCAGAGCCTAAAGCCTAAAAATTAATTGCATATTGTCGGCCGGAGGGGGAGGCGGGATTCCGGGCAGCTGTCTTTTGGAGCCCAATGTATTTTTTTTTATTGCCGGGGCTACAGTAAGAATTTTTGGATCTTTTCGAAAAGCCGATTTTCAAATTCAAGACAAGTACGGGGTGGGATGGGTGACAATTAAGGGGAGAATACTCGGGGGATTACTCAGCAGATGAGGGGTACTGTAGAAGAGATTTCTGTCCCTATCTATCTATCTCTCTCTCTCTCTTCTCTCTCTCTATGAAATTTTGTTCCGCCACGCTACGAGGTTTCCCGTGAAACCTGTCAATTGTAAAATGGCGGGGTTGAAAAAGGTGGTGGGAGGATTTCGAGGAGATTTGAATGGATTTGTTTTTGGTTTCTTGGAGGTCTGATAGCAGTGATCGTTGCGGAAGCCTGAGGCAGGCTAGCAGAGATATTTTGAGGAATTGGATGGAGAGCCTCACAAAAATCGTTTTAGGAAATTGGGTGTAAACAAGCAGAGGTTCATTGAGATCTTTGGGATTTGAAATAGGTAGGCCAGCAATGGTCCCTTGAGAAAACCAGGAAGCTAGCAGAGATCCTTTGAGAAAATCGGCAGACTAGCAAAGATTCATTGAGAAAACTAAATTTTTTTTCAGGGCAAGCTAGCAGTGACCTATAGTTTAGGCGACTCCGAGGCAGGCTAGTAGAGGAATTTTTAACATTTAGGAATCTCCAAAATTTACCCCCAAAAATTAAAATTGTGGCGATGGCCTCTCTTCCATGTCGAAAATGGCGATAAGCCGGTTGTTTTCAGGGTGTCCCGTTTCACATAAACCCTCCAAAAAATCGAGACCCCCGCGGCTTTCACTTATGTAAATCACCGAGGTGCCCCTCGAATGAATGGCCATCCCGGTTGCGGTTATTTTTAATAGAATTACTGAGAGTTTTAAAGCAATCTATTGCTGGCACTCTCCCTTTAAAGTATTCCCAAATGATCTCTGCTAGTAGTTCATCCACTTTTCTAGACGCCGACTTTTCCTCAAAGAATCCGGCTAGCTTACCTTTTTCTCTGGTAACTAGCTTCCTTCCACAAGCTGTTTCTGCTAGGCTGCCGGCT